GGGGGGGGGGCAGGGAGGCACCAGGGTGTGCTGCATGGGACTGGCGGTGCTCAGTGCACCCCTCTGCTGGATAAAGAGGTGACGTGTGGGAATATGCTGGGGAGATGCCACCGCTTCGCCCCAGGACACACTCCATCCCCACCTGCCTATGAACCCCCTATGATGACCTTTCCAAGTACTCCTAATAGCGTTATAATATTTGCTAACCACAGAGCATTAATCACCATAAATCAACACAGAGTGATCCTGAAGTCAACAAATGAAGTTCAGATAAAATCCTAGAGAGAAGATTTTAGTAAGGGATTGTATGTAAATAGTTTGTTTCTTTTCAGTCTTTTTTGCAGCTCACTGACAGTTTATTAATGAGGCATTTTTCCTTTATTCTATTTTTCAAATACGTTTCACTTCTCTATTATAAAGAATTTGGATTACAGTGCTCTGTTATGGTTGCCAACCCCCAGTTGGCAACCCCTACCCTAGGAGACTAGAAGGCAGATTAAGCACATCAGAAGTTAACACTAATCAGGTGCTGTGGGAAACAGATCCGAGCGCTCTTCTTATTTTTTCCCCCCTTTCTATTCATATTTCTTCAGCAAGTTTTTCCATGGTTTTCCACCCCCCACCCCCCAAACTCCTTTCACCACATATAGAAGGCAGGAGGAAACATGGGTGAGGGAAATCAGGAGGGGAAAAGAAAAGAAAGGAGCATTGAAGAAAAGACCAGCGAGGAAAGAAATCAAAACAAAACAGGTTTCCAAAAGCAAAATTTTAGGTGTTTGGATAGGAAAAGTTCAAGGGAAGTTACGTGCTAGTGCATACATTTGCAAAGGAGAAATACAGACACCTTAGAGATTAGACTATGACTGTATGCCACATGCTTCAGGCAGGGAGTTTGACTAGATGGCCAAAAGTTAGGTCTCTCTTCCCCACTGTGGCAACATCCCATCCTAACAAGCTGCAACTTTTACAAGGTACTAGAGCACAAGGACAGCCTCTAAGAAATTTCACTGCCGTTTCAAGTGTGGTTTACTTTAGGAGAAAGGGTTAACTTACCTGTAGTGACATCATGTCTGGCCTGTACTGTTTACGGAAGCCCAGGTCATACATGAGGAACTTCAGCATTTCAAAGGCTTGCTCTTCACTCATGTGCAGAAGCAGTACTCCAGCCACAAAGCTGATACCCTGGCAATAACCTACTTCCTTGTCCAGCAAAGAATAAGCTTTCAGAAGATTAAAGAGTGACAGCTGTCCTGCTCCCAACTGGGCAGAAAAGTAAGGATGTGTGGGGAACGTCCTTCCTGTTGTAAAAAAAAAAAAAAGAGGTATTTATGGTCAACCTGCTTTTTAATTCTGAGTTCTTGTACGAGTACAGGGACCCATCAGACCCATATTCTCTCTATATGTAGGCTGTGAAAGTTTTTTTTCCCCACCTCTTATCAAGCCTTCCAGGAACATATTCTTGAAAATGGATTTAAAAATTGTGAAATGGGTTTGGATAATTGATTAGACTTTCTGACCAGGGCAACATCAAAAAGTTGTACCGAATAAAACTGAGCATTTAAAAAGCACTCTTTGCTGTTGTTTCCAAGCACTGTAAAACTGTTTGTTAAATACCTTCTTATCCCTCCCCAGTACCTGCCCTCCCCATGTACTCTCTCACCTTTTTGTACTGGGAAGTTTAAAAGCTCATTTATTTTTCCAAAAAGTTATGCCATAGATGCTCTAGGGGCTTGGGTTGAGATAAGGGATCCTGTTCTGCAACCCCATCCATTACAGTGTTCAGCAACAGAGCCCAGCTCTTTAGCTTAACTTGTAAACAGACTTATTCATCCACCGTGGAGGCTCCCAGCCATTTATCTAGGGCTTTTGTCTTAGTGGAACATCTCGCTTACAACAACATTTAATATTTCTATTTTACCAATGCCCTAGGTCTTCAAATCAAGATCAGGACTTGTTGTGACAAATGCTTTATAACGCGCATAGAAAAAACATTAAAACTGCACTGTTCTCTGGGAAAAGCTAAGACAACTAACATGTACATGTGGCGAGGAGGATAGGGACAGAGTATGATCCTATGTCATGAAATTTGTATAGCAAAGAATACTTTTGGGGGTTTCCTTTTTTTTTTTTTAACCCAAAGAAAAGTTCTTCACTCTCCTCCCCTTTTGTTTACTTTTTCCTTGTCATTTCTCTCCAATTACTCTCTCATCATTAAGTCAACTCTTTCTTCTTTTCCTATAGGCCTGTTCCTGTTCTCATCACTTTTTAGGTGCAATCATAGCCTTACTGAAATCAATGGGAGTTTTGCCATGGACTTGACATTGGAAGAATCATTAAAGAATTTAAATCTTTCAAGTTTGTAACTCACTCTCGCCCCATTCCAGCCCATTTCCCTATCTTGCTGCAGTGAATTTTCAAGGTGACAAACAATCGTAAATTTGCTTTTTCAGAACCCTGTTGCACATACAGCAATAGAAGTTCAGAACACACTGTCGATACCAACACAGAATGTATGTTCATAGACAGTAGCATCTGTTTCTGTGCCAACACTAGAAACCACCACCAAAATTTGGGTCAAAATAAACATGTTTCCACCTCTCAGCAAAGACATGAAACATCCTTTAGAATATTTTTCAGCCACACCAAGCATACCTAAATCTACAAGAATAGCATGCTGCTGAGCAGTCAGTTGTTTCAGGAGCTCTTTGTAGGAGATGTCTGGAGGTTGTTGTTTGCTTGGGAGTCTGTGTCTTACACGGTGCTGTACAGCTAGGAATTGCCAGATTTCTCCTCGGCGGCTCTTTGGTACACCTTAAAGAAAAAAAATAAGTAGGCTTTGAGCAGGTGTATATTCTTTGCTAGCAGACAGGCTACTGACTTCTGTTTTGTAAAATGTTAGAATGCACTGCCCTATATTAATATCACATAAAATACAGACTGCACTAAATCCATTCTGAGGACTGACATGGAATAGCATAAGATGTATGCCAGCACCCAGGACAGTGGTACACTTAGGAAATGCATCAAGCATGCCACCGTGGAAGTACCAAAGTGTAATGCACAAAAAAATAAAAAAACAAACCACTGAAATACAAGGAGGTATCTCCATGCAGTATGTCTAACAACAAAATTACCAATATACACATTTTCTGGAGATATGGGGCTAATGTATTAAATCTTGAGGTACCACGTTCATTAAGGAAAGATTTCCAAAAGTACTTTTTGAAAATCCCATTTTAAGTTGTAAGATGTTTCTTATTGACCTTCCACAAAAATATCCCTTTACAGCTGAATTTTTTAAAAAGCATTAAGAACTAGTAGTGTGATAACATTTGCTAACCACAGAGTATTATTCACCATAATCAACAGAGTGATCCTGAAGTCAACAAATGAAGTTCAGATAAAATCCGAGAGCGGAGACTTTAGTAAGGGCTTGTATATAAATAGTTTGTTTCTTTTCAGTCTTTTTTGCAGCTCACTGACAGTTTATTAATGAGGCATTTTTCCTTTATTCTATTTTTCAAATACATTTCACTTCTCTATTATAAAGAATTTGGGTTATAGTAATAACTTTTTAGTTCTCGAGCAACTAAACTGATGGTGTGGAATTCCACACCAAATTCAAGACTATTATGTGAAGGAGGAAACAATGAGGTGGGACTCATCTGTACCCACACTAATAGAGTGGCCCTGAGTTCCTCACAATTAAGGCACAGAGTGAGGGAATCTGCTACTGACTTCAAAGTAACAAATCCAGTGAGTTTGCTCAAGCTATCAAGGCAACAATTAAGTCCAGATATCTTGGATTCAGTTCCCACAGACGTCTTAACTAGAGGGTTATGCTGCTACAAAGTGGTGGTTTATCAGGGGGTTTTCCTTAAAAGCAAATTTTCCTCAAAGCAAAGAATGAACTACTCAAGTCAAGCCTTAGCATGCAATCCTTAACAGAGCACTGTAGTCCTCTGCCCCCACTGCCTAGTGATTTGTTATAGGAGGTTTAAGTTTGTTGCAGTCTGAGTCAAACACCTGGGTTCTTCAGTCTGAAGAGGTGAGGCTCAAGCTTTGAACCAAGGACCTCTTACATAAAGCTCCCCTAAAGCTGAATGAGTCAGAGACATCACCTCACACGAGTACGACTATTCATTCTTCTACAGCATGAACTCAGCTTCTTGTAAAAAGTAATGAATTTTCTTACTGCAAAAATCCTTTTTTTGGTTTTAAATTGAGGGGGGGGTTGGGTGCTTTTTTGTTTGGATAAAGACAAATGGACAATTCCCAAAATGTTCCAGTTAAAGAAATCACACATACATACCTTCTTTAAGAGTGGCATGAATATCTTCCATATCGCATCTGATTTTGGCTCTGCAGTTTAGTAACTTTTTATCCCAGATATTTACGACATCTTTCTGACAAGTACCAACTTCTTCATAGTCCAGTTTTACTTTCCTTGATTGGAGTTCATCTCTGCTTGCTGGAACACAATGTGGAAAAAGAGCATGAGAGAGACTAGATCATATCAGACACCACTGATCATAACGCAGCTAAAGGTCCATCTGAAGAGATGGCTTTTGTTACTCCATAATGTGCCTTGCATTAATGGATAAACTGTATGAAACTAGTCTTACCTGTACTGTTATGTTATGCTATTATGGGCCAATTTGATTTGTGCTGCAAAACAGTGTAGGAAAGTTCAGATAGATAAGGGGAAAAAAAAAAAGCTGGGGAAGGGGACAGGGGGGCAGCTCTTCACTTTCTTTCCTCCCAACTGCATCTGAGCTCCAGAGATGTTTAGCTGCATTAGTTTGAAGTCGGACAAAGTAGTGCAGGGTGACACCAAAGATGAAGTAGGTTTTTCCCTATACTGTAAAAGCTTTTCTTTTTCTGAAACAGCTAGTCCCTGAAGTGCCACCCTGCCTTACCTTCTGCCTAAACTTTGGAAAGCTTTTCAGAGTGAAATGAATATTTTGCAACATATGGCATTCTGGTAATACTCAAACTTACATTAATGGAATGAGGTATCATCTGTTAGTATTTCAAAGGCATTTTCCCCAAGTCTGCTGATGATAGAGGGGTTTTTATTAGATCTCTTCTATGGCTAAACATTCATAGCTCAGAAACAAAACATTTAATGTACTTCATCAGCCAATATGCCACACACAGGATAAAAATTAGTATATTTACTCAAATACAAGATGAGATTCCTCCCTAGCCCCCCTCTAGTTAGTATAGTATGGGGAGGGTCCCCCTATACTATTATATATTCATATAAGGAAACCTTGCTAATTACATTGGCTATCATTAAACTGCTGCCAAAAGCTGCATGTGCTCAGTAACAGAAACCAACTATAAAAGTTGATTAAATTCAGCCAACAGTAAGAGCAGGGCTATAACACACATAGCCCCACCACAAAAGTGGGTTAGTTCAGCCCATCTGAATACGATATTGTACTGCCCATTGCACTCAGTCCCCCTCAGCATCATTTTTCCCCAAGTCATGATGAGCCATTGCAATGCATACATTTCAACTTCTTCACTTATACAGCTATGCTGTGCCTTTCTTTCCCATTTCCAATGGTCCACGTTTCTTCGCCATCCCTAAAACGCCTGGCAAACAGCACAAAACAGCAAACATCCAGACAGTTCACCCAGAACCCGGTTGCCCCCGCTCTCATCTGATCTCATAGGATTAGCGTGGACCTGCCTTCCATTGGACCAGGTTGCCCTGTGCCTCATCTGCATATACATTTTTGGAGGATCCCAGGATTTGAGACAAGAACACCCGGTTTAAGTCATGAGTGGGAGCCGATTAGTACGTGGATCCTTGGGGTGGGGACACGACAAGGTATCTGGAGTACACACACAAACTTTGATCATGCTTTGACTGGGGTACATACTGTGTGATTTCAAAGAACCTGGAACAGATCTTTAAGCCTCATGTTTACCACAAGCGATGTTATGTGGTTCCCTCAGAAATCTTACATCTCCATTTGCTACAAACAGGGATTCTGCTTTTCTCCGATAAAAAAACTCCAATTTTTCCCTATTAAAAACGTAACCCAAAATCCACGTTTTTCCATGATTAAAAGGAAACACTACTAATATATATGTATAACAGTGTTTCCTTTTAAAATTGTGGAAAAATGTGGATTTGGGCTTACCTTTGTCAATCCAAAAATTGGGGGGAAGGGATGTTAATCCAGAGAAAAAGCAGGATCTGTGCTTATGCAGTGCTCAGGTACTTGCCAAATTAAACAAAGTGACAAACTGAAGCTGGAAACAGCAAGGCCACTATCCACACAAAGCCAAATCAGATCTTGAACTTGCCACCACACCCTGCTCTGGAAATAACCACTGCCTGATGCTTCAAATGAAAAACAAGGAAAACTTAGTAAGCATTCGTTTGACAGATCATCTACTTAAGCCCCCATCCTCCAAACACTTAACACTATTCTAGAGCCTGGAACTGGTTGCCCAAGTAGCCAAAGACACATAAAATTATTGTAAAAGAAAGCAAAAATTAGTCAAAACAAAAAGATTATTTGTTATTCACAGGAAAGACTGTTTGAAAAATTTAAGATGCAAGAACATGACAGGGGTACTGTAGAAAGGCACTGAGCTTCATTCTTGCATTTGTATTCAGATTAGTAGGTACTACCACTCCACAACCAGTCCCTCTGAAACCAAAAGAAACCACAAGCATAACCACCTAGCTGGAATAAGGGCAACAAAAGAAAATCAGATTAATTACAAAATGTAGTTATATGCTACCATAGGATGTTATGCTACTGTGTAATGAGAGCAGCCTTTACACCTTCAATATTTAAAAATTCAAAGAATTCTTTTGTTGCTTTTCAATTCTTACCTTCTGCAAAACAAATAACTATTAGCATTTAAGTCTCCTCGACAGCACAAGGAACAGAGAGAGAGATTCTGTTAATATTTTATCATCAATTCAACTAAGATGAACTGTTTAGTAGATAAGTACCGAGAGCCTTTTCATAAATGGGGAAAAATTTCAAATCTTAAGAACAAGGCAATAAATCCATTAAAAAAAAACATCTGATGAATGCACAGCTAAAGAATCTGGCTGCCAATAGAAATTTATGTCTGTCCTGTAATTACGTTTATAATTCCAGAAGACTGCAGGCTGGAGGGTCAATTGCCACCTTAAAAAATGGGCCAAGCTTAATGCATGCCAGCTTTACAGGTGCTATCAACACAACACTAATCTCAACCAATGAACAATAAACAAAACATGGATGTTGGCAAGATCTCTAGAAAAAGATATTCTTCTTTAGGTCAAGTTATCCCATCTCTTGCAACGTTAAACACTGTCTAAGCTTCTCTATTAAAAAAATCCGCATGTTGATTTTGTAATATTCAAGCTCCCTACACTTACAGCAGGGCGTTCTTTAGTGAAAACTTCACAAGCCTGAGAACTACTGAATTAAACATTAGACTCCCATTAAATACATTCAAATTACTCTAGTCTCTCGTTTCCTCTTTACCGGACCAAAAATGAGCATTTAGGATTAAACATTAACTAAAAGAGAGGAGTGCTAACTCTATGATTTTTGTAGTCTGTACACTACTTCTCTCAGCCATTTTATTCTCAGGTCTTTGAGAGGTCAGATAGGATTTAACTGCATGCAATGCCTCCATATTGGATTTCAGCTTGCATCCTGGCCCAGAAGTTCAAAGAATATGAAGGAGCAACTAGTCACTGTAGCAGAAACCTTCTCTCTTCCCCAAATGTAGACTGGCAGCTTGCAAAAATAGCCAAGAATAAAAGATTTTACTGGTCAGTCATCCTCCAGCAACTAGGTTAGTGGATATTCCCCTATACAGCCTAACAAGCCACCATGGTTTCTCAGCTGATACTTATCTGTAGGAGGGGCTAAGCTGGAAAGGCAACCTGTTCTGTGCCCAGGGTATGTCTAAAGTTCCTGTTACAATATTCCTCTCACTCACTCCCTTACTACACCCCGATTAATATACACTGCACTAAAGAAGTAGAGAAAGACTTTTACAAATGAGGATAAAGGAAGTCTATAATAAAAGAAGAATGCAAAATAATACTAGGTTCCAGAAAGATTGAATACTGCAACAGGACAAGACTAGAAGCCACAAATAGTAACTTCTTAAAACAAAAGCAAGAACATTTAGCATTTTAAATGGCTGAGATGAATCGGATATATTGTTACCTCTAGAAGTTTTATACGTATATATCTGGATGTTGACTCCTACCTTTTGATTAGCAGCTTTATAAGAAAAAAGGTCACAACTACCATCAAAAGGATAATAAAATGATTAAAAATGAGTTAGCTACAAAACAATGACCACAAATTATGGCCCAGGTTTTCCATGAAGTCCTAAACACTCACATGATGATAAAAAATGGAAGCATCTAAAATATTAATACTTGTGAAAATGTAGGTCTTAACTATTTCCCAGGTGGGAAATGGAAGGCTGCATACAATACAAGGAGCATTTTGTCTGAAATACTAGGTATTTTGGAGGCCTAACACTTCTTTGGACAGTGTATCATCAAAAGATTTTCCACTATGGCACAAGTCATTATGCTATGGTAATTAAACATGGAAAGAAGGGTCCATGTTTTAAGCAGCAGAGAGAATCTGCATTAATACAACAGGGGAATAAATCCCATACAGAATACTGACATCCCTGAAGGTAGCTGTTCAGGAGATATACTGTTGTATAGTATAACAGTGACAATAAACCACTATGAGAAATAGATCTCTCATTCTTACTACAAAAAGGAACCTTAATACAAAAAACTAACTAAATGCAAGTAGTTTCAGAAGAGGAGGAAAGGAAGCCTGATGTGCTTATCTGCAATGTTACACTTCTGTATCATCTCATGAAGGAAGTCTAAACATTTTCAAGAATTCGAACTTATAGGTCTGCCAATTTTAGTCATAAAAAAATGGAATGATATTTCAAATCACTGCCTGCAACATGGCACATTGTTTTATATACACAGTAGCACTGGCTCAGACTTTAGATGAGGGCAATAACTACTTGTTATTTTGATCTCTGAAAACTAGCCCCACCACCTCTTTGAGGGGTCTAACCTTCCAGCTTCTGGTTTTCTTTTTCCATTCGAAGCAACAGGATTTGCTGATGGATGGCTTTTCTCCACAGACTCTGCAGCTCTTCTGAATTTTTCCTCTCTCCAGCCTTATCTGGGATATCCTCATTTTGCAGCACAGGAGCAAGAGGATCCTCTTCCAAGGGTGGAGCAAGAGGAGACAGTGGTAACAATTCATTCCCCTCACGGCCATCTGAAAAAGTCATACAGTTATTACTGGAAATTCAAAGATTATAGTTGACATGCTACATACAGTAAACACTGCTATTTTTATTCTCACCTTCAACAAAAGGCACTAGTTTTAAAGCATGACTAGCATTTTTAATATCATCTTCACTGTTCGAACCAAAGTCTCAAGACACTCCCTCCTTCACAAAATTCACATGAAGAGGCCCATTAACAATGACACTACTTATTCAGTATTGTGCTTGAAAACTTACAAGAGTCAAAAAGCTTAACAACTGAAATTTACCTTGGGTTACATGGAAATATGCACACTTCTCTCTGCTAACATGCAGTACAAGCAAGATCTATCAAGAGTACCTTTGTAGCAAATCCATGGTTGTGAAGAGTGCAACTAGAGCTATAATGACGTGTCAAAAAATTCTTTCAAAGAAATTTCTAAATATGTATCGATGCATTTAATAGAAGAGTACATGAGAGCTGCCAATTACTGGGTCAGACCATAGGTACATGTTGCCTAGTATCCTGGGTCACACAGTGGCAGAGTGGATACTGAAAGGGAGAGGGAACAGATGACAACCAGGGTTTCTTCCACTGTTCCTCTTTCACTTTAAACTTCCAGCATTTAAGGTCCAGGAAGTTGATTCAAAAGCTGTACCCTCAACTCCCATGCTCAATAGCTATTGCTCTCCCTTTCCTCCAAGAATGCATCTAATCCCTTTTTGAATCTGGCAAAATTGTTAGCTTCCACAAAATATGGTGGCAATGGAGTTCCACTCTAAGTACACGTTGTGTGAAAAACTTCCTTTTGATAGTCTTTAAACTACCTATTAGTCATTGCGACCCCCTAGTTTGTGTATTCCGAGACAGGTATTTTGTAAACCAGGGTGGGTGCGCAATTATTTTGGCTGGAAAGCCACTTAATGAGTTCTGGTGAGCTTTCAAGGGCAGCATTGATAGTCCCACCCTCTGGTCATCTTGGGACCAGACATCCGACCCCTAAGCCCTGACCTTTGCCACTAGAAGGCCCTCCCCTTGCCCCAGAAGTACTCCTTTGGGGGGTACCTTTGGGGGGTCCTTTTGAAACTGGGGGGGAAAAACCCACACTTAAAAAAAACCAACAAAACCCCAAACATCTACTACAACATTTTATTTAAAAAAAAGTGTCCTGATTTATGTGCGTTTGCATAGTGCATCTAGAGGCAATTTCATAATACCTCAGAATACACTCTTCCTCTTGTATATTGTGCGTGTAGAGGGTAAGGGGGTGTGTGGTGCAGTGTGGGTGGCATGTTAGCGTGCCAGGAGCCATGGGAAGTCCCACACCACCAGACTGGGCTCGCTCTGTACCTACACGTGGTGCTCCTGACACTAGCCAGGAGTGGCACATGGAGGCATGATACCAGAGTCCTGAGAGCCCCACAGAGCAGGGCGATTGCTGGTGGTCCTCCACCACCCCTCCCTCCCTGAGTTTCCATTCTCGGATGGAGGGAGGGCTGGGGAAAACCCGTTGGTGGGGGTGCCAGGTGGGCCTTGCTGTTGCTGGTTCCTGCCGCCAGCTCCTCCTGCTGCTGGCGCCTTGTCAGCTTTTAGACAGGCAGCCACCAGCAGGTAATAAAATTTTCCAAGTTTTAGAGGAGCCCTGTGGGTCAGATAGAATGGCCTGGTGGGCTGGATCTGGCCCACGGGCTGCATTTTGCCTGCCCTTGTTGTGAACCCTTATGTCCCTTCTTACACATCTCTTTTCTAAACTGAATAGGCCTAGCCTCTTAGTCTCTCCTCTTACAGAAGCTGCTTCATACCACTCATCATCCTTGTTGTCCTTCTCTAGTTCTGCTGTACCCTTTGAGGTATACTGTGCCTGTTTCTGGTCAGCATTCAAGGTGTGGACAAACCATGGATTTATAAGGGGGCATAAGGATACGTTGTTTTGTTTACAATTCCCTTTTTAAGTTATCCCTAACATTGTTTGTCTTTTTTGACGGCTGCTGATTACCGAGCTGAGTAGTTACAACCATAAGCAACAGAATGTTTACAGTACAGAAAATTGTCAAAAATGTTAACTTATTTTCTGTAAGCTACCTTATACATTATGCAAACAGGCTGTAACAAAATCTGCAGACTGAGAAAGAGTACTTTTTTTTTTGCTGATTAAATCCTCCCCCCACAAAAAACCCAACCCCCCCCACAACCCACCAGCTATTGCAGTTCACCTTCAACAAACAACAGCAACAAAATGCAAATAGCTCGCTTCCTCTGACAAACTGTCCAAAACAATAAGGATATTCGAGATTTATCTTGACAAGACATTTTTACAACCAATGTTTGGCATGCACATTGTTGCATTAAACCGTCCTTTGTACAACCTGGCCCAGTAACATGCAATAGTGTATATTTAGTTAGTTCTCTTTAAAGAGCACAGACCTGGGTGTTGCATCTTGGCAGGAGATTTGTTCATTGGTGAGGCTACCCGCAGGAAGATCCGCTGCCGCCAGGAGATGCGGCGGGGGGTGAGAGTGACCCCGGCGGCATTTAGAGAGTCATTGCTGCACACAGATGAAGTCCTTTTCCTTCCCTCCCCTTCACTGGAAGGAAAAAGAAAAACAAAGGGCCACAGATAGTGTCAGCTTGAGAACAAGTGGATGCAGGTTTGTTTAATATACAATAGAAGCCATCAGGGCAGTTTCTGAGTTAGTATTATGGAGGCAGAGCAGGTTATGATCTACAGGCATAAAACTGCAAAAAAAAAAAAATTGTATTGTGACAGACAACACTGAAAAATTCATTTCATACAGCAGTCCTGAGCGAGGATTAGTACGAGGCATATGATGCTCAGCCAGAAGCTCAGAATTCAAGCTAAACTTTTCAAAGTGTTCTTTTGAAAAGCTAAGAGACAGTTAAGTACAAGAAAATAAATGAACATTTATCCTTCAAAAGAATGCAATTTGCTTTCCTTTCAGCCATACAGTTTTCCCCCCCAAGTGTGATTTGATGCAACACATCCAGAGGAAGATATTGCCCAAACAAAATCTAGAACCCCATTTAAGGCATTATGGCAAATGGAATCATGAGCTCAAAAGATGGAGGACTGAAGGGTAGGTGGGTCAGAAGCCTCTTGCTATGCTGCCATCCTCCCTTCCAAGCTGCAGGATAATTGCTGATGGAAAGAGAGGACAAAGAAGTGTGCCATGTGCACAGCCCTACACAAAAAGGGAGCAGCCTGTGTGCTCTCTACCAGCACCAACAGCTGGAGGAACAGACCCTTGACAAGCAAGAGAAGGGACACATCCTATCACAGTGACCTAGTGATCTTAAGGACTAATCTAGTAACAGGCCACAATGGTGTGGCTGGTTGGCAGATCGTGCTGCTACAGGAAGGGGCTGCAAAAAATGAGGAAACAAATGCAGACAGACTTATTGCATCTTTCTACTCTAGTACTTAAGCATCTAGTACTGGCTACTGCTAAAGAACAAAGATTTCAAAAGGCCTGAAGCCATTTACGAGCCTATGTCCTGTTGACTTCCAATAAGTATAACTTCTATCCCAAGCATTGGGAGAAGTTGCTGGCCTAATCCATTATAACAGCAAATGGCAAACATCCAACATATTCTTAAATAATCTTTGGACAACTCTTTTGCATCTGATTTGTACCTACTGACCTCATTTGGGACATATAAGCGGCTTGCAGACACCTACAGTTTAACTTCCCAAAGACATATGTACATGCCAAACAGTTCTCAATCAACCCTGTTTAGGAAGAGGATTGCTTGGACAAAGCACTCAGAGAAATAGATAAAAACAGAAGCTGTCATCTCCAACAGACTGATACATTTTGTACCCAGAATGAGACTACTATTCTGAGAGGGGCTCCAGGAACAGGTGCAGCAGTGAAAGAAATGGCAAAACAGACCATTCATTTAGATAAGGATTTTGTATTTAACATCAAATTAATACATTAAAAGAAGGTGTCAAACATATGGCCTCTAGGCCATAACTAGCCCATGGAAGTCATCCAGCCCACCGGACTGCTTGATGGCTGGACTTGGACAACAAGGCTCATTGCTGCTCCTACCAGAGTCCCTGCAGCATCAATGTTAATCCTCACAGCTGCTGTTTTCGGCATGGCTTTCAGCCATTTCAAGCTGCTTGCATCCCTACTCCTTCCCACCACCCCCATTATCCAACCTGGCAAGCAAGAGGGGAAAAAGGGAGGAGGGTACACAAGTGACACCAGTGTTTTAGAGCCGTGCTAAAACAGTGCCTCTGGCAACCGTAGGGATTGCTGCCACCACTTGTGGGCCATTCAGCCCATGGGAAAGCACTGTCATCTGCAGGCAGGCTGTGGGACACCCAACTCAAAGGCTCACTTCACAAACACAGCAGCCCCCTATTGGAAAGGGATTCCAGTCATCTTCCATTGGTTGGGAGAGGATGACTTCCAGGAGTGGGGGACAAATTTTCTGGCAAGCGTGCCAAAAATTAAACCTACACCCTTCAAGTGCCACTACGATCTCCTTCTCCTGTCCAAACTGTTGCTTTAACTTTCTACCCCCTGCTCTCTGACACTGTGCTGTCTGCTCCTTCCCCAGTCTGCTGTGTTCCACACAGAGGTGGCCCATGCCACTTGTGGTATGCATATTTCATGTAGTCCAGAAAAGGAGCAGTCAACATACTATGGGGGTGGAGGATGGTGATGCAGCACTTTCACAATACCTACCATAATACAGAGGATAGTTGTTTAAAATCAAATCACATCCTCATAAGCCTTTCTTTCTATAATACTTTACTTATGGTGCAGTCCATGGGAAAACAGCCATTCAAAGCCTCCATAGCTAGGCAAGCTTAGGAAGGCATTGGTCACTAATATCCCAAAGCAGCAAGGCAGTATCACAGGTAGCTATAAATGTACACTCACCTGTGAAACGAGGTTTTTGGAGAGATGACAAGTGTGAAATGCAGACAACTGCACCCATTACATGCATTGTCAAGACTCTGCAGAAGGTCAGATGCGACTCCTCCCCCCACCGCCCCCCAGTACTTGCAGTAATTATATGGCCTATTTCTAGTTTAGTATTTCTATAGTCTCATCCTCCAGAAAAAGCAGCAGGAAGCAGAAGCTGGAGGCGTAAGGGGAGGCCCAGAGGCTTTGGCAACAGCAGTAGGTAGTGGCTGGGAGTTGGGGAGTAGTGCCTGGACCAGGAACTCAGGGGACAGATGTGGCCTCTGGGCTTCCAGTTGGAGAGCCCTGAATTAGAACATTATAATTGGCTAATTGAATGCAGCATCTCTGAAATCTTACTGGTTAAAAAAGGAGAAAGCATGCAAAGTAGCTAAATTGAATCAAGTTAAAAACTTCATTTATTTAGCTATGTTGCCTCAGGCACTGAATGCTGAACAAGTCAGAAATATTCACTTATGTCAGAGGCCCTTCTGGTTTTTATTTTGTAAATCAAATTTTTCCAAGGAGACATCAGGTGGTGCTGCATCAAGATGAAGAGGCCAAATTATATCAAAGTACTCAATCCGTCTTGCTTTCTTTCTGCAGAGTCTACAGATTCAGAGATTTATTACCAGTTAGGCAACTCCTGCATCCAATGTTGAATACTGAACAAAAAGATCTACTGTGAAAAATAGTATTGGCCTTCATAGTATTTTTGCTACTATTGCTACAATACTGAAAAGTGCTGTTTGCATCCCTATTTGCCTTACACATGTTCCACATACGAGTCCAAAGGGAATAATACCTTTATTAGATATGGGAAAACTACAGCAAGAAAGGGAGGGATGGAGGGAAAGATAAGGTTACATGTTATTTTAGATTACAAGAAAAAGACCAGTGACATGCAACTGCAGAAAATACTAATATTTTTTAAGTTCTGTGCATCTCATGAGAGGCAATGCAGTAATTCAGGGCAGGCTTTAGAACCCGAGTCTACTTATTCATAGTTTCCAACCCTACTAACTATGAAGGGACCTCAGCAGATCATCGAGTCTGACCCCCTGCCATGGCAGGAAAAAGAGTACTGAGGTCAAATGACCCCAGCAAGGTGTTTATCCAGCATCCTCTTAAAAACCCCCAGGGTAGGAGCCAGCACCACTTTGCTTGGAAATTGGTTCTAGATCCTAGCCACCCTGACTGTGAAGTAGCGCCTCCTGATATCTAGCCTAAATCTACCCTCTGCCAGCTTGTGACCGTTATTCCTGGTCACTCCTGGTAGTGCTTGGGGGAACAGGAACTCCCCCAATGCCTGCTGGTCCCCTCTGACTAGTTTGTAACAAGGCCACTAGATTTCCCCCCAGCCTTCTCTTGTGGAGGCTGAACAGGTTCAGGTCCCTTAGCCTCTCCTCATGGGGCCTGCTGCCCCCGATTACGCGAGTGGCCCTCTCCTGGACCCTCTCCACGTTGTCCACATCCCTCTTGAACTGCAAAATTATTAATTTGTTTGCACCCATAGCAGTTCCTAAGTGTAGCCTCATCTACTCCTTAAGCCTTTGAATTGGTCACAAATTAAAAGACAGGAATTTGTGGGCGATATCTTTTTGGCCAACTGTATAGCTGGGAGGGACAGACAAGCCTTTGGATGCCAAAGTGATACCCACAGGCTTTTGTCTGTGTCCCTCCCAGCTATTCAGATCTTCCAATTAAAGGTATCACTCGAAATCCTTACCTCTCATTTTTCCCTTCAACCATCTTGGCTATATTGTCACTCCTACGCTACCACAAGATTAGATCATTACAGTGCTAACAAATATAAAAACCTCTCAGAACGAGATGCATACCCTCTTCTCTTGTTTTCACAACACAAACATTCTGCTACAGTAATCACTCCCATAAATTTAGAGGAACAGATGGTTGTACATTTTAGTCCATGAAAGGTGCTGTATACATTTAAATTCCAATGTGCTGGGTCACATGGGCTAAACTTTGTGTTGGCAACACACAGCTACTATTATGCACTTACCAGTCAGTACACACCCTTGGACACCAAACAATTTTGGAGGTCGGATTGGGATTACTTTCCAAAATTCCCCTGTTATTTTAAGCAAACATCGCTGCTTACTTCCTCTTCCAAAAAAACAGTCAACTAGTGCAGGAGCAGCTAATGTGAAACTTCTGCAATTAGCTTGGAGAGTATGTACGGAAGGATACAAGAGGCTGTTTATATTAACAGAATTTTTTCCTGCAAGTCCTTCATTAAAACAACCCCATCGTGCTTACTTTCATTTCAGAGAAGGAGCCCTTTGCCCATCTCAATTAACTTTCTAGTAGAATTTATAATTTGAAAGATACATAGGATAATGTCACAGAGTAACAGGGACAAAAAAAGTGAACTACATCCCACATGAGTAGCAAGGTTGTTTACGCAACTAAAGTGATCAGTGTCTGGCCTCATTTGTTTAAGTTGAGTGGAGAAATGGATGGAGCAGCTCTACCATGCATTCCCACCCAGCACCTCCACAGCCATGTGTGAAACAGCAGCATCCAGCCCACTGTGCAACTTTGGTTATTTCTAATCTACTCTCAGTTACTCTAGTGAAATTTCAGAATAACTATGTTCAGTTTCACTTCATATTTGCACTAGC